TTGTTATATTACAAGGGTTGTTTTGCTACAAGTGCAATGCAACGATTGAGTCGTGCGTCAATGTTTTTGGTGTAGAAGCGAATATATGTCTTGGCTTCATATCTCTGGAGGGGTGCTCTGGGCTGAGCATTTGCGCACCACTTGCGGTCAGGCCACTCACAAGTTCCTTCCAAGCCACACGGGTAAGCGCAGCGGGTGGCAAATGATGAAGCAGACAGTCCCAGCCTCCTTTTTACACAAAGATGTTATAATCCTGCTAGTGCATACCGGTGTATCATAACGCGTTTCAGCTATCAATTGCAGTGAATTTACAGCAGATGCTACTGTCTTCTGCGTGCTCCTTTGCAATGGGCCGATCACCCACGCATGTGACGGTGGGCTTTGAAGGCCCATTGGGAAAAATGAACGCATGAGGGGGGAAGTCATTCGTTAGATTATAAAGATAAACACAAAGATAAGTTCTTTTTTAGAGAAAGGAAAGATCGAAGGCGACTGAAGGGGAGATCGGAAGAGGGGGAGGGGTGAATACTGATAAAGCGGCCCCAGAACTCCATCCGCATCTCTGAAGTTACGACTGGGGAGTGAGGGAAACGAAAGGTACGTGGCAGAATGAGCTGCATCCCATTTGTGTTCGTTTTATCGCTCATCAAACATGTTCGCGGCAAATGCGGTGCTGTTGGTATTTTTGCAAAAATCGTTTGATAACACGGGAGGGGGCAAACTGAGCTGCCTAGACAGTCTGAATACATAAAAAGGATGACTGGTCTTCTCTAGCGTGCTCAAGCGCGCGCAATTTTTTTTTGTAGGATAAGCATGAGGAATTCAACATCATGGCCGAAAAATGGTCAGACTAGAGAGAGAGAGAGAGAGAGAGAGAGAGAGATAAAGATACAAGGAAAGGCAGGGAGGTTAACCAGACGCACATCCGGTTTGCTACCCTGCACTGGGGAAGGGATAAAGGGGAGAAAAGAGGTTGCACAAAGATGAGAAGGTGCACACAATCACGAGCACACTCGGTGAGCACACACAGTTCACAGGCGGTCGCTCAGGTTTGTTGACTTAAGGTAAAAAAGCAGTGCTTTAGTTGCTTTCTTAGCAACTGAGGCAGATGCCCAAGGTCCTAGTATCTTCTGCACACAAAATGGTCCGGGGTCAAGTCGATTCAAAACCATCCGTAGCTGGCATCGCTGTGTGTCGTAGCAAGCGCAGCTGCAGAGGACGTGTTCGATGGTTTCTTCATCTCCGCAGTAGTCGCATGTAGGAGTGTCTGCCATACCAATGCGAAAGGAGTACACCTTTGTGAATGCAACACCCAACCAAAGGCGGCATAACAGTGTCGCATCGGAGCTCAAGGAAGCCATAGACTGGTTTCAAACTTTTCAGCTTTTAATTTTAGTGAGATTGCACAGAGCCACACACTTCGAATGGCAGCGAGGCGTGCTCACGTCTCTACGTGCGACGTCTGGTGACTTCACCCAAGATCTTTTCACAAAAACTGCGTAGTTTACACTTGTGGCACTCTTGATTAACGACTACGCAGCATTAGCCAGGCGAATGCGAAATTTAAATATCAAGTTACCAGCAGGAGTGAAACACAAGAATTTTGCGTGGCAATGAAGTATTCTACCACAGAGCCATGTCAGATCTCGGAATACTTCAGAAAAAAAAAGACTGCAGGCGTAATGTTGGTGAAACGTCAATTCTGGGAGCATTGATACAGGTGTCACGTCGGGTTAGCTGCAAATGTAGTTAAGCGCCAACCAGTGAAGTTGCTCTACGTAGCACTATCCAAGGCTAACATCCTCGCAAGCATTTTTATGCTTCCTACTTCTTGTGTTGTTGATACCCGTGTTGCTATTGGCATCATTACGTGACTGCGAACAACTGATTATATAGACGTATCCGTTTTTAGACATTATTGCCAGTGCCTGTAACATTTACACATATTATAGTGGCATTTCGTAACTTTTCACTCAACAATAAAATTGCTCCAGTATTATTTTCCCTCCACATGCTTCGCATGCCTTGAATTTCATGGTACGTGAGATTTGATATTTTTTTTCTCCATGACGTTGTCTATCTAAAATATAGGTCACATATAGGTGACGTGCCGCAAAATTAAATACAACAACAGATTAAAAAGCTGAATGCTTTCGTTTTTCCGGGAGGCAACTTTGAATGCAGATTTCCGGACTGTTACAAAACGCAATTAGCGAGGTTCCACTCGGTCTAATGCAGTCACCAATTCTTGAAATATTGAATTTTCTCTTACCAAGTGCTCTCTAATATTTCGACGCCGACTATACATTCAGAATATTTTGTTATTTTCTCAACTTCAACTCTGCGTAGTGGTGACGTATTCCAGCGGGAGCTATAGACTACACACCGCTAAATAAGTCAGTCAAAAACAAGCAATGAAAATGGTCGATGGTAATAATAATTATATATTTTATTGTAGAGCTTAAAAGTTTGCGCCGTAAGTTCGTATGATGCATTTATATACGAAGATGTACTGAACTCTTGGGGTGTTAACAAAATAGTCTTAAAAACCAGGTAGATGGGGAACAAATGAAGGACACAGCCAGGACAGCTGTCAAAAAGCAATAGTTCGGGAGAGATGGAGAAATAGTCGTGAAAAAATCCGAACAAAATCATTAGTGTGGACCTGTGCTAGTACTGTTTCTCGCCGATGCGCGCAAACAGGCACGCCTCATTCACTCTGTCACCTCATACACACGCACGCACGCACACATAACTCTTATCGTCCTCTCTTTTCTTCGCAGTTTTCTTGGCAATTGTTCACAGACGACCACGTTCACGCACGCGAAGTGTTCAAGGTAGCACTGATGCTTCTTCGGATTGCGCTTCGTCACCATCACACTCGGTAGGACGCTGGATGAGATTAAATGGAATGAGTGGGCACGTCCTATCTTCACCTGTCTTGTCTTCTTCTTAGGCACCACCTCATCTCACCATGGCAACTCAGTTATGGCAGCCTACACGAAGGCAAGATGCTTTTCTTTTATTTCTCTAATCACCACATCTTCTGGTCGTATTTTGTTTAAAGATCTCATTTCATGAGGTATCGCGCGCCCAGGCAAGCAGCCTAGATGGTTCTTGACTAGTTTGAAGAAGGAATGTGACCTTTATCTTCTGACGACGTCCTCGAAGACAAAATTGCGCTTGAGCCTGGGCGCCGCTCACAACGGCAGTTGTGTTAGATCGTTCTATGTACAGGAAAAGGTCGCAGCGTCACAAGGGAGGTCGCACTCACTGCAGCGGGATGGTCATGCACCTTTTCATCTCCAGGCGTAGATGCCACGTGTCGTTCTCGCCCGACGGGATAAAAGAAAGCTCGCGTCACACGTAGTGCACATCCCTGTTCTTCCTTCCGCAGTCCTTTCGCGGGTTTCCACACGCTGCACTCACGCACTGCTGTCGTCGTCGGCGGGTGGTCCAGGTGTGGCCATACCGCTCTCGCACGATTTCTTTTTTCAATGTTTTGTCTCTGCACGATCGACACATTCACGACCATAGGGAGCGTTGAACTGTCTCGCCCTCACCTACGTACACCGTTCCTGTCACACCGGCGTCGATATCGTGTGGTGGTCGCTTGGCACTCCTCCTAGGTGCTGAAAGTAAAGCCAGAACAATAAACGCTGCTACACTGAATGATTGCCGTGAAAACAAAATAAAAAGAAAGCCACTGCAGGAAGGCGGTTTGCAGCGCCAACGGTTTTCCTCTTGTTGATGACTCGGCAAGAAAGTAGCTGAACAAGTTTCAGTACCCCCACCAACCATGTCTTGAAGAATTAATACTATAGGCAACTTGTGATATATGCCACCTTACTTAAAACGAACACACAGCGACGCCAACAAAGTTACTATAAGTAACGTAATTTAACTCTATCTGTTTTGCAGTAATTATCTAAAAGCATATTCTAGTTATAATTTTAATAATGACTACAATACAATGTGAAGAACACAATGAACGTCACCTACACATTACGCGGCGTGATTATCTGTTGGTATTTATTGGGGTGGTATCAACAAAAAACGAGCCTTTAAAGCTGATTTTTTTCGATTCTACCACATATACCAAAGCCTAAAGTGCGCTGGGTGCAAGAATTCTCAGAACCAAGAGGTGTAGTAACAAAAAGGCGATAATACTAATAACAATTCTATTAATAATAGTAGTAATAATATCTGAGCAAACACGATCCTAGTACATGACGGGATCGCGAGGAACACCACAGTGGAGGCCTACGTAAAGACGGTTACTATAACGCTCTGCATACTTCTATTGTCTCACTCTTTCTCTATCGCGAGAATCTATCCCTCGCCTACCCTGACGCTTGGCTGCAAGCTGTTCATGAGCGGCGTGTCCGAGCCGACGGCAGCGCAGGGGTCCTCCTCTTCGGACTGCGGCGGCACGGCGCTGAACAGCACGCCGGCCCGTTGGAAATCGATCTGCGCGTAATCGGTCGGCGGCTCCCGTATGCGCACTGGGTATTTGCTGCGCGGCAGAGACAGCTCCGCATAGCGCACCTCGTTGTCCATCTGCAATCAGTCGAAATTTTAAAGTACTAAATACTTATAAAAAAAGCAAACAGAAAACGAAAAAAAAACTTTATTTGAGCATCAAACTGAAACCTTAAAATACGTGCTATCGAAGCTCCGCGTATGCGTGCTTAATCTACGGGTTTTCTTTATTTTATTGTTGCTCAATGCTCTCTCGCAGTTTTTGGTTCATCTACGCGGGCAACTGAGCCTACATCTACGTGTTAGCAGTGAAATATTTCACTTTTTTACAGACAACAACGACAATCATGCGTTCTCATCCAGACAATAACAAAATGCGGCAGCATAGAAGCACAGGTGGCCTTAATAAAAGATCAGATTGTCAAATCTTAAACGACAAATCATGGACAAAACCATCACCGGCAGAGCATCGTTTATCGGGAAACGGCGCGTGCAAAAACGCACGTGACCAGCACGTCTTCGAGAACCGCATCAACCGGTTTGCTCCGCGCTTTCAAGTACGGCAACACCACCAGCAAAATATAACTCGTGACAAGGATCGTTCGAAAAGTTCCATGAAGGACAAACCTTGACAGGTGACGGCCGTCTCAGTGACTGGATGTTCTCGTAGTTGTAGTCGCTGGGAGAGAAGCTGTCGTACGTTCGATGAGCCGGGAACGTCGGGATGCGCCGAACAGCCACGCGCGGGTACTCTGCTACACGCGGGAACGAAGAACATTAGTGCCAAATATGAAACAAAGGGATAAGCCTGAAAGGCAAATTTACCTAGACATATATGTACCACATATTTGATGGTAAGGGCTAGAAACGCCTTACTACTACTGCTTCAAAATTGGTCGTTCACTCCTTTTTGGGTGAATACAATGCTCACCCGTTAACTGTCTCATAGACAACTTATATCACTAATTTATGGCATTACGCTGTAAAACTAACCAGAAAATTTTAACAGAATCCCGTGAACGTACATAGAATATCAATTTACAGCTATACCAAGAAAGTCCAAAACGTTCAAATGCATCCTCGTAAGATATGTGCACTCGGAATGCCAGAGAAACTACCTGGCATGTCAGCAGTAACAACACTTCAGTCTTATCTTAACAAGGCATTCAAAGAAAACTTTTTGGCTAATATACTTCTTTGGGGTGAAATAAACCTAACGCTAAACTAGTGAGAAGATGTGCAAAATTATCGCCTACCTTGCGAATCACTGGTCTTTTGAATTACAGACGGATCTTTGGTGTCAATATCCGTAAGGGCTAAGTTATTCACTGCTTTCCTTTGATGGTTTTGGTTCCTAAAAAGCAAAAAGCAAATATAATTTCAAACGTGGGGTCTCTTCTATTTTTTACACAAGCCGTGTAAAGCGTAAGAAACGGCGAATGTCGCCTTTTTGGCTGGTGTTCTGTCTGTTCTCGGTGTAGGCAGAGTAAAGCCGTGTCGCAGACCATGCAAGAATGTCCGAACTCCAGCGCTGCCATAGTTTCAAAAAATATACACTAGAAGGAACGCTGGCGCTAGTGTCTATAGGAGCTTCAACGCATAGCGTTTCAGCGAGCGTCGGAATTATGGGTAGGACATGGGTTTGCCTAGTCTTCGTACTTTACGTTCGTGCTGTCTTCGCTTGGCTTGAAGCTGCTTTGTCATGATACAACAATCAGCAAATGTTCGGCAGCTACGCTTCACCGCCTTAATTCTTTAGGCTTACCTCTTCTAATTGTGTTAACAAGAGAAAAACTCTTTTTTCTTTAGAAACAAAACAAATTTCAGCGAAAGTTGATCAAGATGTCTTGAGGGACTAGCTGGTTCAATACTTAACAGGAAAGACTTGCGCTAATAAAGAAAAAGAATTACCACATTTTTTTTCCGTTCAGTGGTAAAAAAAAGAACATTCTACCGAACCTAAACGCAGTAAACGAGAGGTTGATTAAAAAGAATCTAGGAGTTTGAGCCACTTACTTTTCTGGACTCTCCTCAGTAGCACCTGCAAGAAGTAGAAAGAAGGGAGGAAGTAGGGAGTGAAAGCGAAAGTATTAATGAAAAACCTATCCCATTAACTTGGGGAATGGAGGCAAACTTTTTTTTCTCGAAACTACGTTGGTAGGTTTGTGACGAAACTCTAAAATTTCTTGCATTTTGGTCCCGTACATGAAGTCGGAAGTATTTGTTGCATATAAGAAACTAGCACAGAAAAGTTAACCACAATTGTTGAAGAAAACAAAAGAACAGTGCTGAACCGTGAAATATTCAGAAAAGCGAAGGTTTGTTATGCAGGTAAACTAGTGTGTTGAAAATTACGATAATCATCATTTAGTAATCATTTAAATTATCACTTTGAGTTCCCAAAAATCTACATAAAAAACAATGCAAGGCTCTCGGTTAACTAAACTCCATAGGTCTGTCTGGACAAATCATTGCATATTTCTTCAATTGTAACACTTGGTCGCTTTTGTTACCGCTATACTGATCAGATCTTGAATTTAGAACAATGATGTTCTAAACACCGCTTGTAGTGGCACGAGCAAAATCATTGACGTAATTAAATGATGTATACAGAACTGACCTGCGTAAAACCTTACTTCTGTGAACAATTTCACTTCTATTTGATACATATTTTTCCCACTGTTTGTTTTAACGTTTTTACTGCCCGCTAGATTCCCACTTGCATTCGGTTTCTAACATCCGTGAAAATCGGCCTCGGCTTACGCACTTTGCAAAAACAGGTGAGTCTTGATTTACTAAAGGGGGCTTAGTTCAAAACAAATTCGTTGTTTAGAGATAATGTTTTTTAAGTTATAGAGCTTCTTAAATAGCTGATAACTTAATCCTCGTATAAAAGCAGAGACATGACTGAGGACTGACCAAAACGTCAATGACGACTGATACATGACTGTAATCAGTGCCGTCATAGTCATGGTCCTTTTTTTCCCATTAAGTGCGATAATTTGGCGCTCGTAGCCCGAATAAAACACTAGGGACCAATCCCGGTACTCACGCTTCTCGCTGTCGTCTCCGCGGAGTCGCATTACGACCACGATAACGATGGCCACCAGCACAAGAGCTCCCACGATGCCGATCAGGACACCAAGCACTGGACTCACTGATGTGATGTCCGTGTTAGCTGCACATGCGCCATGTTGTAATGACAATGGCGATCATTTCGTATGCAGTCTCGACAATATGCCTAAAGACAATATCCTTACGGACAAACAGGTGCTTCAGTCTCTTCGACAAACTAAATAAACGACAATATGTTTATGTAAAAGGTAGTATGCGTCGTTGCTCTATGTTTTCATTTCTAATCAACCAGCCGAAAAATGAACGGCTGTCGGTCGGGCAAACAAAGAACACAGCAGTGCCTTGTAGAGAGATTTAGATCCATGGCTGTTTAGAAGTTTCTGGGTTTACGTGTAGGCCTACCTAAGCTACCTATACCGATCTGTTTGTCCCTCCAGTTATATATATACATCACCCAGTAAAAAGGTAGCCAGAGCATCAATTTTCTGAGTGCGAAAAAAAGTAATAACTAGCCAATTCAACTTCATGATTTTTCCCAAAAAAGAGAAACTCTTTCTCTGCTTTCATTCACGAGGTTTCATGGATTGTACAGGACATTTGATCGGCATCCCCGTACACATTTCTAGAATTCACTACAAATATCGGCCCGCCCACACTGCTGCTAGTGCACACGAGCTAGCGCAATAGCAAAAATACAGAAAATCCAAGAAGCAGTGTAACACATTTTAATGAATGAAACTATCGTATACCACTTAAAGTTATTAAAAATCGTTTTTTTTTTATTTTGATTTTCGTTTTTGTTGTTTTATGTCTAGCTTGCAAATATGCGCTGGCAGTGCTCCCTCAGAAAGCAAGTCACCAGACCTTAGCCCAATAGAAGTGCTGTTGGCTACGGCATTCTTTCAAATCACTCGTTTGGTGGCCTAGCTGGTGATGAACTCTACATATATACTGGTCACAATGCAGATACACTACGGAAAATAGAAATATTAAAACAGACGGAACAGAACCCTCTGTCGTTTTCTTTTCCTTCTTCCAGTTTGTTTACCGTAACAAGTATGAGTAGCATTGATGAGACAACACTCTTGCCACTCTACCTGTCCTCCTCTCGGGTGAGGGCAGCGTGTTGGTGGATATGGAGACGCTGTTGCTGCGGCCCTTGGAGTTGGAACCGTAGAGTACTAGTATGAAGGCGGTGCCGGGCGGCAGGTCACGCACCACGAACGACGCGCCCTCCGAGGAACTGAGGTTGCGCTGCAGGAGCTCCAAGGCCGAGTTGTACACCTCCAGGTGAAAGGTCTGCCGCAGTCCCCCATGGTCACCCGGATCGCACTCGACCGCCAGCGAGACTGAGGTTTGGTTGCTCACGCGACAGTTTCGCACAGCCTCGGGTGGCCCTGTCCAACGAGACACTGGCCGCGCTCAGTTATCCACGCTTGTCGTTGGGTTGCATGCGGCCGCAAACAAACGCTTGTTATCCTCTAACTCAGGTTTCTGAAACGCACAGTGCATGGGTCACATGCGTTTCGAGGACCTTATGCAAACGGCTAGGTCTACGCGTAACTGTCTTCTCAACGTATTTTTAACAAAAACAAAAATAGGGGACGCTAACGCTTCATCTTTAGGAGTTGAACGCAATAGCAAAATTCTGTTCCTAGTTCGTACTTCAAACACTTAGTGGTGCATGAAACCTTTTTCGAATTCGCTATGCACCCACTACGTGGCCCTGAAGTAATAGGTGTAGTAGCTTGTGTGCCTTTTGTAGTGGGTGACGGGCTTGAAATCATGAAGCGATTATCATAATCACATGATCTGACTTCCGCTGGGCAATGTACGCTTGTACTACGCATTATTACTGCATTATTTCGTGTTGCATTGTGAAGCATACATGTATACAAGACGCGTGTATTTGTAAAGCATGAAAGCTACTTTCACTGCATTTTTTTATTATTTGGTAATACTGTCAACCCTCATAGAGGGTCATAACCGAGAGGACATACATAAAGAATATACAATGTTCATAATGTTTGTTAATACCTTGACAACTTACAGTGAAAATTGGTATTTTCTTAATTAACAACTGAACATTCAAATATCAACTCAAGAACAATTCAAAACACACCGTCATTTTTATAATATTTTCTATGCACATGACGTCGCTTACATCTATTGGCACTGAAAAAAATTAAAATAAATTAAATTTAAAAATAAAAAAAAATTACAAGCAGAGTAAGTTCTTTTAACTGTATTCACAAGCATACGCGAGACCGTGTGGTAGAACATCCGCTGCTTGCGCAAACGATCCGGGTTCGATCCTTATTCGGACCCAAACGACCCTGATTCGATGCCTTCTCTGACCCAGTATTTTATCATTTATTTATTTGAATAGTTCTCAATTTCTCGGTCACGCATGAGACGATGATTTTTCGCTCACAACCAATAACGCCAACACCAACAACGGAATTTCTGAGAAACAAGCTTTGTAATGCTATCACGTTGAAAAGTGTTTTACACCTGGGTGCACAAAAACTTTAGTGACGTTTTTTTTTTTTTTTGTCAGAGAAATGTCGTCTAAAAGCTCGCTATCACATGTCAGACAAAAGTAAGTTCAGTCAACGGGAGTCGAATTCCTGACCTGTAGGTATGTAAATACAGATACCGAGCAAACCACCCGCTGTGCTACAGTCTTTTTTTTTAATTTATTGCCTACACTCAGACACAATAGACATCTACGGGAACATAGAAGTCGCTACGAGAAATTTGCCTGTCTTACTAGACAAACACTATTTTACCATTCCGCGAGCGCTGTCAAGTGTCACACCCTCGATAACTACTCAGGTGCAAAACTCGCTTGCCTGATGATATTCAATGCCCGCCCCGGTGGTTATGGCGCTCGAATGCTGACCTGAAGGTCGCGGGATCAAATCCCGGCTGCGGCGGCTGCATTTTTGATGGAGGTGAAATTTCCTGAGGTCCGTGTACTTAGGTATATTAGCACATTAAGGAACCCCAGGTGGTGAAATTTTCCGGAGCCCTCCCCTACGGGGTCTCTCATATACATAGTGTGCTTTTGGTACGGGGAACCCCAGAAATTATTTCTAAAACGAATTTTCACATGCTCTCTCATAAGTACATTCTTGTGGGCCACGGATATGGATCACAATCGTATCCTGCTTCACAGGCCCACTATAAGCACCGGATGCCAGTTAAAATTACTGTGTCGATTGACAACCTATCCTCAATTTTTCTATTGGGAAAAAATGTGATGTTATATGGATCCAGCAGAAATTATTTTTTTGTAGTTCTCTGCAGCGCATAGGCGTTTCTAAGTAGAATGCCTCGGTTGTTCAAAACACTAATGCACCTATAGAACTACTTATATTGTCTATAAAAATACAAAAAGCCATAGGTAACCTTAATCTCAGTAAATCACCAGTGTTTGACGACTAAAGGGCTATGGTTTACAAGACATTTATATGTGCATTGTCTTAACTAGATCAAGCATAATTTCAAACAGGCTGCTTAACAATCAACCACAATATACTATCAGTCAGGCGAGAGAGAAATGCTCATAACACGCCCAACCACTATACACAGCCCTAATTGATTATAAAAAGGCATTTGATTTAGTAGAGATATTAGCAGTGATGCTGACACTGCGGAATCAGGGCGTCCACAAAACATATGGAAACATACTGGAAGAAATATACAGAGAATCCACTGCCACCATAGTGCTACATAATGAAAGCGACAGAACAGCCATAAAGAAGGGCTCCAGACAAGAAGATATGATCCCCCCATTGCTATTTATCGCGTGCTTACAGGAGGTTTTCATAGGCCTAGAACGGGAAGAGTTAGGGTAAAGAGGTAATGGAGAGTACTTTTATAACCTGTGCTTCGCCGATGTCATTACATTGCTGAGTAATTCGGTGAGCGAACTTTATTTGCAGAAAACGAAAGTAAAGTACAGCAACTTCGAAAGAGAACAGCGTTTAGAGACAGGTAGCAGTGCCTTGAACTTCTAAAAGAGTGAGTATACGTGGTACAGGTAGTAACCGCGAAGCCGAACCACGAAATAGAAGTAACTAGAAGAATAGGAATGGGGTGGAGCACATTTAGCAATATTCTGCAATCATGACTAGTTGAATACCACTATCCCTCAAGAGGAAGGTATATCACAGCTGTGTCTTGCCGGTACTTAGCTACGGAGCAGAAACCTGGAGACTTTTAAAGAGGGTTCAGCTTAAATTAAGGACGACGCAGCGAGCAATGGAAAGGTGTAACCTTAAGAGACAAGAAGAGAGCAGAGTGGATTAGGGAACGAAGGAGGGTTATGGATATCATAGTTGAAATCAAGAAGAGGAAATGGACATCGGCCGGGCACGTAGCGCGTAGGCCGGATAACTATTGATCATTGAGGGTAACTGTCTGGATTCGCAGAGAAGGCAAGCGGGTGAGGCGGAGACAGAAAGTTAGGTGGGCAGATGAGATTAAAAAGTTTCCGAGTATACAGCAGCAAGCACAGGATCAACATGACTGGTTGAACATGGGAGGTGCCTTTGTCCTGCAGCGGACGTAACAGGCTGCTTATGATGAATCCTTAACTGTTAGCAGATGTCTTCAACAAGTCATGTGAACCAGATAGTTTGCCGCAGTTTTCTAGTCAGGCCCACTATGCCATAGTCCCATGCTCCACAGACATGCCTTTTTATTTTATACTTTCCTTTCACATTACCATTTGTCAGTGGGCTGCTGCCACCCTCTATAGGAGCGAAATAAAAATATACGCTTTAGTTTTGTGTTTACGAAGTTGTTTAACACAGGGATCAACCACGTTTTTTTTATGACTGACTGCAGTTTTGCAACACTGCCTAATGGTTCTCGCATAATTCTCTCTCATATCTCGAATAATAGCGGTTAGCTTGGGTACATGTGACAGGTTTGAAGTGTTTATTTTGTGAGCCGTTCCATGTGATTCCTATTGTTTATGTTTGAACACGGGACCAAAACGAACTGTCAGCATTGGGGTCGCTATTTCAATCATTCAATAATAATTTTTCTCGAATACTGGTTTCAAACTCACTTCACAAATTCCACCTCTGCACACTTTTTAGGGGCGAAGCTTCTTAAGGCGTGGGTCTGTCCATCCTCTGATGTATGTAGTAGTAGTTGTAGGTAGCCACCGGTGGCACGTACCGTCTCTAGTGCCACAGGGGATGCGAGATGAGAGATGGCGGTACTTGGAGTGTTCACTAGATGGACGCATGGACAGACACATGGACGGACGGACAGAGAGACTAACAGATGGACGGACGGATGCGCCGACGTCCGTCCAGATGGACGAACGGATGGACAGGTGGGTGGACGGGCTCACAGACGGACGCATGGACGCATGGATGGACGCACGGAGGGTCTGACGGATGGTTCGCCCCACTCATCATCATTCATTACGTGGATATGTTCAGTTTTGAAAGAAATGACTTCTTTCGAACGGCAACGTCAGCTGACATTTTATTCAAGCTCCTTCCACTTCTGCGTTTCAAATTCATTCGCTTTAGTGGTCCTAGCAGCCCTACATTTTGGAACTACGACCCACTGGCTGAGGTTAGTTCGAGATTGCTGCTACAAACAAGATGTGTCTTCAGAGCCTTACTATATTTCTTTAAATGGACACTAAAGGCAAATAATATGTTACACCCGAGTCAAACATCAATATTTAGTTAGAAATGTCAAAATCAGCAATATTATTGATAGCGGGGCTCAACAAGTCGAGAAATTGAGGTAAATGTACGACACCACATGTGCCATGAGTGGGACATTATGAAACATTCCGCATGACGTCAAAGTGTATGACTTTAAATAATCACTGATGAGCAGTCGTAATGAAACCAGCTGCCATCTCTGCTACAATGCTACATATCCGTTTTTGCTTGATTCATTGAGGGAAAAAAATCACAGCATATCCACGGAGTGAATCGTGATGAGTAAGGCGAAGCATCTGTCAGCCTGTCCGTGCTTCCGTCCGTCCACGCGACCATCCTTGCGTCGATCTATGCGTCCTTCCGTCTGTCCGTGCGTCCGTTCCCGAGTCCGTCCGTTCGTGCATTTATCCATTCGTGCTTCCGAGCATCCATTCATTTGTCCATCCGTCTGCTAGTCTGTCTGTCTATCCATCCGTGCACAAATATAGTGTACACTCCAAGTACCACCATCCCCTGTGACACATACCCGCTCTAGAGCGGGTATGTGCCACCGGTGGTTATGTACATACATACATACATACATACATACATACATACATACATACATACATACATACATACATACATACATACATACATACATACATACATACATACATACATACATACATACATACATACATACATACATACAT